CGGTCCCCGCGCGGGGGCGGCAGCGGGGCCCGCTGGGTTCTCCGCGCAGCGCTGAACCGAGACTTCCTGAACCACGACAGAGGTCCTGTTTCCTCGGACCCTGCTTTGACTTGAGGATGCTTTCCTAACAAAAAGCGCAGGAGTTCAATTTCATGTCGCGACAGCTAGTGGCGAGTGGTGACGCCCGGTGAGGGTGGACAGGGAAGCCCGGGGAGGGCATGGGCTGCCCGAAAGCCTCCTCTCCTTTCCTCTCTCCCATCCTTCCCCGCAGCAGCTCAGAGCCAGACCTTTGTTTCGGCCCCTGTCGGCAGCTCCGCGGGGCTTGCAGAGGTGGACGGAGGAAAAAGAAAAAATAAGGAACGAAAGCAGAGGGAGAGAGGGGGAACTCTGAGGCAGAAGCCTTGCGGAATGAGGCTGGTGTTATCCATTTAGTGTGACATATGGAAATCTCCCGGTGGGGCCACAATTAAAGGAGCCGGCCCTGCGTCCTTTATTCCCCGCTAACTTTTGTGTTAAATGTTAACAACCTGGCGCTATCCATTCTGGCTCTATTACCAAGTGAATGTTGACTCCAAGGCTGCTTTCCTTTCTGCCTATTCTGGGGCTGCCTCCCACGCAGATTTATGTATTTTTGATATTAAATTCTTTCTAACATTACGCCTGCTCTCTTGTTGACTTTCATTGACCCTTGCCCTTGTCCCCATACTTTTCCATATTTAATACATGAACATTTTTTGCCAGTGCCCTCCCCTCTTTGTTACCTCCCAGTTGACTGCCGTCCCTAATGGCATGTGCTGTTTGCTCTGCTGTTGAACTTGGTAGGGTCACATAGTCTTGTCCTGTGATATCCTCTGCATGTCCAGCCCTGCCATTCCGGGGAGGTGCCTTGTGGAACAAGCCTTTTTTCCCCTAGCTACCGGCTTCCTAATGACTTAAGCAAACACCTTCGCTAATGATCCCCCAGGCTCCCTACTCCCCTCGGGGTTTTGTTTAGCTGAACTCCTAGTGCTCTGCCTGTCCCACTGGTAGCTTGGCCTCTCTGACCTGAGACATCGCAGCTCTTCTCCTTGGAGCGGGCTGCCTTGTCCAGCTCTGCCTGGGCCAAAGGCCAGGATCACGGGAGCATTGGATGCCACCAGCTGCTTGAGGTGACACCGAATTACAAAGAAGAACCGCCAAAGGAAACTTCGGCTCACACAGGCAAATGAATGTGTTCATTTATCTCCTCTGACTCCGCGCTTCGCGTCGTGCCTCGGCCCTACGGCCTGGCTGGGGGAGCGGCTGAACGTCCTTCCCAAGAAAGATTGTCTCACTTCTCCTAGGCCGGTCTGTTCAGTATCATTATGCGACCGGTTTTCAGAATTGAAGTTGCCTGGTGTTTTGATTCTTCCCTGCCTGTGCATTTGTGCCCTGGAGGTCCCTTCAAAATGGATGCTAATTGTTGGGGCTGCACACTGCTGCCTGCTAAAATGCCCCAGAGCTCCCAGGCCCTGCTCCTCAATGGCTTAATTGACAAGGACTTGTCTGTATTTAGGAGCAGCTGGTCCAAAGCATTGGCACATCAGTGCAATCTTAACACAGCATCCCTAGCCTGGAGGAGTATGAGGGTAAACGTGGTTAAAATGAAGGAAGATTTATAGTCGGCCCCCTTGGGTAATGCGACAGAAGACAGCTACCAAGATTTTCCCTAGTAGGGGTTTCATTCATCAGCTTCCCAGTCTTGGTAACGTGTCTAGGAGCCACGTTCCAGCTATTATTAATAATAGGAGGTGGCCATTTAGCACAATTAGGCAGGTGACAGTATTCCACAATAATGCGTAGCCCTAAACGAGACGGGGAGCCGCTGACAAACAGCTCCGTGGCCGGTCAGCGCCGGAGCTTTGCGCCACAGCCTTTTCCCGAGTGGATCTGGGCTGGTCCAGAGGGCAGCGAGCTCTCACCCACCTGCAAGGGCCCCAGCTCGCAGCTCCATGTGTTGCCAGTTAAATCCTGGCAGGCAGCAGTTTACCCACCTTCTACGAGGAAGGCTGGGAAAGAGCATCTCCTGCAGAGCTGCTCCCTCTAAACCCTGACTTAAACCCTCTGAAGTCACACACCAGGTTTAAAAATCATTTTCCAGCCTGTGTCCGAATTTTAAATTAAGATTCTCTTTAATTGCGGATGAAATATATATATATATATACATACTTTCCCCCCCCTCCTCTCTCTTTATACAAGAGCTTCCTGTTTGTAGGATTTAAATTTACATGATTTCTAAACTGGAGCCGCTGGGTTTATTTACTGCACAGGGTTATTCAGCGTTTTACAAAGAAGGTTTATGGAGTGGCTTAAAAATAAGGGGTTTTTTGTTGTTGTTGTTTTGCAATGTGTGGGAAATACTTTTATGTTCACAGAGCTCACCCCATGAATAGGGATAATAGGTTTGGGATCCTCATTGAAATTTGAAGTTTTTAAACAGAAATTCCCTAACTTTTGCTCGTTTTCTCAACTTTTTTCGTAGGAACAATGCCAACATTGAAGCCCTCGGTTGGAGTCTGCACAGTTGGAGATCTTTGGTGCCATTTTAGACATCTTTGGATTTCATCAATCAAACTGACTGCAATTTTCCATAAAAACCCTGAATTTGGGTCAGAAAGTGGGCAAAGCAGATAAAGATCGTTCGAGCTGTCTTATAAGATGATAAATAGATATCCTTTCAGTCCAACAATGCAAGAAGTGCAGTTTTGTAATTCACTTCCATTGGTTTTGAATGCAGTGAGTCGAAACAATTTATACATGTTTTCCCATGGTTAGAAGATGTCTTTACATACTTGTCAATAGTAGCTTGACCTTTTTCCCCACTGAGCTATGCAGAAGTGCTTTTTTTCCTCCTTTTTCCAGAATACAGAAATACAGAACAGAGTGGTTTGGGGTTGGCTTTTTTTTTTTTCCCTTCTTTTTTTTTTTTTTTTTTTTTTTCCCACTTCCTTCCTCTATTTCTTTTAGAGTCTAAATCAATAAGATATTTCATCTTATCCTGAGGTTTAAGCAGATGGTAGATGGTTCACTGCAGTTCCCCACACTGCAGAGGAAGTATTTAGCTCTGTGCTGCCATGAGTGAGTGGCCCAAGTGAGGTTTTAGCCAGACCTGTTGGATGTCCTCAGTGTGTTCTTGAACTTTCACTTAACGGGTGAGAAACCCTAAAAGTCTTGGGCGGAGACCTCGCTGGATTCTGCCAAATTGCCACAGCAGGTAGAGCCTTACTGTGTGGCCGAGGGGAGGGTTTCTGCCTCTTGGGTTTCTGTCTGCTCTCTGAGTGTCCCGAGAGGGATGTCTTGCGGGTTGAAGTCCAGCCCGTGAGATGCTACACTCACCCGAGCGGGGTTGGAACCCCTCGTGTTGTGTGGGAGGCCCGCGGAGGTGTGGAAACACCTCTTGCATCAGCAGCACAGGACATCGGTCTGGATGTGTTTCACAAAGTGAGGTGGGAGCATTGACCTGGGCCCGCAGGACAGGGAAACTGAGGCACGAAGCCGCTTTGCCACGACTGGGACCAGGGGTGGCTCGGCACTTGCCGACCCCTGCCTATTGCAACGAAGCAAACCGGAGGACTCTTCTGGGAAGGGGGCAGGAGAGAAGGACATGTATTTAGAAGACTTGAAGTCCTCCACTGAATCAGGAGGTTGGCCCCGCGGGGGCCAGGTCCCCACACTCCTCCGGAGCCCGGCCCGGGACAGCCTGCCGCTAGCTGGCCTCCCTCCCGGGCACAGGAGAGTGGTGGAAGGACTAAGACAGGAGATAAGGCTTTTGCTTTTCCTCCCCTTGCCTTGAACACGACAGTCCTGCTAAGTGCTGAACACTACCCGCTAATGGATAATGACCTGCGGTGTGCAGCTGCCTCCTGCTCTTCAGATAAAGGCTGCTTTTACTATTAATTGCATTTGTAACATGAGCGCAGTAGGTTCACGACCAAAACGATCCAGAAACAGCAGCATCCACGTTGCGACGGGCATAGCCGCCTTCAGCAAGCATCCGGATCCTTCTGCAGAGCGCAGACGGGACCCAGGGCCTCTCGTGTCCCCTGGGGGGAGAACAGTGCTGGGGGAGGAGGTGGTCCAGCTGCCCGAGAACATTTCCACCTCTGCAGAGGAGCACGGGGCAAGGAGGCAGGAAAGGGTTAAAGCGGTTTGTGGCCACTGGTGGTTCCCAGGGCCGTGGGTGAGAGACACAGCCACCCACGCCATGCAGATTTAGGGGCTGTGAACGCTTCCCAGGGTGAAATTCCACCTGAACGAGATAAAAAAACCCCAACTTTATTGTTTTTTTTTTTTTTATTTTTTCCCTTTACTCGGGCGAAGCCATATTTATTTGTTTCTCTGCCCACATTCTAGCTCTTCTTGAGGGCCGGAGGAGAGAGCCGGAGCCTCATGTGCCGTGGGGAGCAGCGGGGCTCAGGCAGGCCGTGGGCGAGGCCAGGGTGGGCAGGGCTGCGCTGGCAGAGCCCCCGGGCAGCCTCCCGCACCCCCAGAGTGGCTGCGGAGGTTTTGGGGACACATGAAAGAGGGAGAGCACACGCCTCCGGACTTGGCCTGCTTTAAAAATAACTCCATGTGTTTATAACTCTGCAGCAGGGGCTTAGCAAGTGACACGCGGCCGGAGCTACGCAAGATTTTGGGGGCAAGCCGCTCATATTCAAGTCGCAGTTATAAGTAGAGAGATAAAACAATTTTCTCCTTAGGAAGCCTTTCGCCCCGTGCGAAACGTCAAAAGCCACGCTAAGAGACAGATAATCGGATTTCTCCCTTGCCTCCTTATTTGCTGTATCCCTAAGCCAAGAGGGACCGCGGTGTCGCTGTCCGGGCCTGAGCATCCCCGCCGCAGCACGCTTCCCTCTCCGTGGATTCTGTTCTCTCAGGGTTTTAGTGTGATGTTTTGTTGGGGGTTTTTTGTTTGTTTGTTTTTTTCCTGATTTCATATTTTTTCTTCGTTCTTTTAAATTTCCCTTTCTTCAGTCTGTCAGGCAAATATTTACGGACGTTCTTGAAGCTAAAACGGGCCCTAGAAATATCTGCTTTGGCCTTTTCTTCTGTCAGTGACTATCTCTTCAGCGGCTGGCGCCGGGCGCCTCCCGAGCCGGGAGGGAAGGGGATGGCAGAACTTGTGCGAGGGGAGCCCTCGGATGTTTTCACACGACGAGCGCGGCTCCCGCACCTGCTGAGCGGGGCGGGGGCGGGCGGGCCCTG